CTGATAAAGAGTGTTACAGAGGAAGGGTACGTTGTGCTGTGGCGGGGCTTGGGAACTGCGGTTGCAAGAGCCTTTGTGGTCAACGGTGCTATCTTTTCGGCTTATGAGATTTCTCTCAGGTGTCTGTTTCACAAGTGACAGCTCAAGCATTCAAATGTGGGAAACAATCATACTAGTTGTCGTTTGAATTGAGGGAGACATGAGAATGGGATAGCACAGCACATTTTCGATTGCCAAGTGTCCTCAAAACTGAAAATTGACATTCAGCTATGCTATTTCATCATCATTACTTGATGTAGTTGCCGAATGCCAAACATATTCGCTCACATTCAGATAAAAGGAAACCAAGAAACGAGGAATAACACTTTATAATATTATTTTTTCTCAATTTGTTACTATTAGTTATAATATTAATGAGTAAAATAATATTTTTATGAAATTATAGATATTAATGAAATAAATTTTAAATTTGAGGACTAAAATAATAATTTTTTATATTTTGAAGATTAAAAACAAATTTTTTAAATTTGTTAGCAAAAAAAAATATATACCCAAATTTAGAGAGAACTACAAACAAGACTAATTTATTTATCCTAATTATTCAGTTTTTATCTTTTTTTATCAATTTTTTTATTTTGGATCTAAATCTTTATATATATATTTTATTTGTTTTATAAATTTGATGTACATTCAAAATTGTGTTAAATTTACAACCGATCTAATAATGGGAGTAAGATAGTATATACAAAGCTTTATATATTCAAACTTTGGTGTTATTATTGTGATTCATATTAATAAAACAAATCATGTTGAATACTAGCTAACTAGAATTATGTAGATGAATTTTTATATTATATATACTCTCGCTAAAAGAATAATTTTAAGTCTAAAATTAATTAAGTTAAAACAACTTTGAACAAATTTCAAGAAATAATTTATCCATTCATATTATTTTTAATAAAGAATATATGTATTCTCTGCTAAAAGTATTTCTTTTTAATTAGATAAAATTGTTAGAAGTCGTAAAACTTTTATTTCAATTATTTAAAAACAATCACATAATTCGAAAGATTCAAATTCATGACCACTAATTAAATTTTATCCATCTTTAATATAAAAGAATTTCATATTGTTTTTCAATTACAAATTGATATACTCCCTCTAGACTTGAATACAAAAAAATTTGACAATGTGTATTAACTAAAAAGTTAGTTAATATCCTTTAATTTTATAAATCATATTTAAAAATATTTTTTCTTAAATTATCCTTTATTTAAAATTGAAATTAAAAAATGTTTAAAATATTATCATAATTAAATAGAAGCATCTTTTAGAAATGATATGATTAAATAGAATATAAATAATGAATTGCTTATATTTCAATTCATCATTCATGAATTTTTATTTTTACTTATATTTGAGTCTAGATGAAAGTATTTGATAAATTTGTTACTTTATCTGTCCAAAAATAATTATCACAAAAGAAGAAATTATTTGTCCCAAAATATTTAATATTTTAACTTTTTTATATAATATTAATTTTTTCTCTGTTTATACCTTAATAATAAAATAAGGTTCACTTTTATCTTTTCGTTATTTTTTTAAAGATTAAACAAAATTAGTTTTGTAAAATTTTAACTTGTATAATATTTACCTTAACAGTTTAAAATTTATAACTACCATGATTTTTTAAATGATTGGCAGTTTTTTTTCACTACTTGTGGATAGAAATTAAATTTAATATTTTCTCTATCCAAAATTTTTAATCTTTTAGTTTTTTTTATTCTAAAACAAATTACATTTTATATTAATGTTTAACTATTTTTTTTCTCAATTATGAGTGTGTTTAAGGTGGCTAACAATTGATAAGTTATAAGTTATGAGTTAAAAAAACTAGAAGTTATATGTTTTTAACTTTTTAATTTCTAGCTTATAACTTATAAGTCAACTAATCAAATTAAAAGTATTTGATAAAATTAGTTGATAAATTAAATCATTATATAAAATAACATATTTATCTATTTAACAATGTGAGTGGAAGAATAACATGTAAGAAAAATAATTTATAAATTAAAAAGGATAAAAAAGGATTTTGAATAATTAACAAAGACAAAACAGGAAAAAAAAAAAAACTAAAAGATTGCAAGTTATAAATTACTTTAATTAACTTATAAAAATAAATTATAAACTCTAAAAATAAGCTCACATCCCAAATAAATATATTTTGATTAAACTAGTTTATAAACTTGTTAAAAGAATTTATAAGTTCATCAAATATTTTATCAAACATATTTTATATTCCTATTTATTGCTCTACTATCCAACACATAATTAACATTAACATTACACAAAATAATAGAGTTGAAATAACGAGATATTAAATAAAAAATGAATTTAAAATTATATTTATTAATTTGTGTACATAAAACCTTTATAAATAATTATAAATTTAGGATATGAAGGGTAGCTTTTATGTTGCATCGTGAATTTTATAGAAAAATACTTATCATATATACATTTTTTATACCATTTTCTTCATTTTTTTATCCATTGGCCATTACATTTATCACTTTCTCCCTCTACGATTTATCTTTTCTTTCCATCTTTATTTTTTTTCCCACTCCGATCCATCCCAAGGTGAACAAATATTAATATTCAATTTTATATTACATTTTACTATTATTAACTCTTTTTGGGGAAAAAAAATTAAACATAAATGACCATTTCGAATCATTTTGTAAATGATTAGTCAGTTCATCATGAGCCTACCACAATGCGGTATGATCCTTTAATGGGCTTAACTCTAGCGAGCCCAATTAGTCCATGAACAATGATGGAGTAGACGACCATCATGCGTTGCCTATTCATTATTGATTCAAATTGTCTTGGAATGAGAGTACCTAACACATTCCCTTCAGGAAACATTTCAATAAATAAATTTACGAGTCAGGTTTAAAATTAAAAGCAAAAACGAACAGCACCAAAGGAACGAGAAAAGGCCGGAAACCCTGGGCCCAACCCAAACACGAGCACGGTGCTGCGCCGCAAATGGTTACGGTGCGTTGCCAACACCCAACCCATAACAGATGGCACGTGGCAGGAGCTTTTGAAATATCGCAGAAAGACCACAAGTTTTGAATGTGAAGCCAAGCGCGCAACGATAAATAGACAAAAAACAGAGTGTGTCCCCACCCATGTGGGATGGGACCTACCCCTTACCCTAACCGGCTAACCCTCATGGCAACGTCGTCGTTTCATGGTGAGTCGCACGTGCTAGGCAGAGAGTGTGTTCAAAAATTTTCAAAGGCTCCTTTCGTTTCACTGCAACGCCTTTGTCGCTCGCATCGTATCTATTCGTTCCTTCCTATATCTTGGGTTTCACTCCAGTCCAGTCCACTGTCATTGTATTGTACTCGAACACCTCTCTCACTCCGTTCCGATCTGATCGCAAAGGAGGATGAACGGCGCAGGGAGGCAGGGGCTGAGATCTGGTGCGGCGGGGGTGCACCACCAGCGCCAGTACTCCGATAACTTCCTCGACGGCTCCTCCAACGGCAACCGCTGGCTCCAATCGGCTGGCCTCCAACACCTCCAATCCTCCGCCAATCCGCTTCAGGTGATCTCATCATCTTCTCTCTCTTAGCGATCTCGCTTCGATCGATTAAGCGTTTTGCTCCGATTTCATCAGATTCATTTCGTCTTTCAACAGGACTATAACTTGTACGGCGCTGCGCCGGGAGGAGGAAGAGTGTACCGGAATGCGCAGAGGAGCTTTAATGGAGGAAATGAGTATTATATGGAGCCTTCCACGCCTCCCGGTGGTTACCGCGCTTCGATGCAGAAAAAGAATGGCGAAGATGCCACTGGTGATTTCAGCCCCGGCTTGTTGGATCTGCATTCGTTCGACACCGAGCTTCTTCCTCCCGAGGTTATTATTGGATGAACTTTCATTTCATTTCCATTTTCATTATGTGTTTTGTTGTTATCAAGTTATCGTTTCATTCTGTGAAAAACGGTCACATTGCATATTTTGTAAGGTCACGGCTATACAAATTTTCAATTTCGTTGACTATTTAACCCTTGAAAGTGTTAACTGTTCAAACTACTCAAAATTTGAGTTGATGTTATGGATAATTGTTACATCAGCCTCTGCAGATCTTAAGCCTTGAACTTGTTCGTGAGTTAGGGTTTTTGTTTTCAATTTATTCATAACTTTTCATATAATGTGAGGACTAGGAGTAAAAGCATTTCGTCAATCTAAATATCATGAGAATTGCTTTCTTAAGTTGATCTTTTAGGCGCATAAAATCCTATGTTAATCTGTTTCGATCTAGGATGGCTGATCTCTACTTTTGTCTTTGTAAGTAGATGCGCATGAAAAGTAGTTTAATTATGATTTGTCTGTCCTGCTAGATGCCAGCCTCCAATGTATATGATGCCAACTTCATGTATCAACCTGGCCGAGGTAGAAGCTTTGATGACTCTGAAACCTACATGTTGAGCAAACAGACTGGCAGAGCTCGTGCTCCTGAAAACATTTTGAAAACTTTACCTGCAGACAAAGAGAAATCAAATTCTGTAGCAAAGATTAAAGTTGTGGTATGATCTTTTGCTTATCTGAATTTACCATTAATGTTTTGTTTTTAATTAAAAATGTTTGGGCTGACTGTTTGATATATGAAGTTTTTTCTTTAAGGCTGCACTGGCACAATACCCAACTTTATATACATTGAGCATCTTTTAAAATTAGTTGAATATTCAGAAGATGAAAAAATAAATCTTATCCAATTGTGAAAAGCATTACTTTTTAATTTTGTTCTAATATTTGGATGTTACATTTTAATGCAGGTTCGTAAGAGACCGATGAATAAAAAGGAATTAACAAAAAATGAGGAAGATATTATAGAAACTTATTCCAATTCTTTAACAGTGCACGAGACTAAACTGAAGGTGAGTTTAACTCTTTAAGAGGCAACAGCAATCAATGGTTCCAACTTCCGATGCAGTATAATTGTTCTCAGGTTTGAGAAATATAAGATTAAGTTCCTGAGAATGACTTATGTAACTGATATGTCTAAATTTTTCTCATGGTGAATCTGAAATGTGTGACTTGAAAATAATACAGGTGATGTAAAACAGAAAAAAGATGAGTAATTCTATGATATTGTATTGTAGAGTGTATTTATCTGTACGTTATTTACTTTAAAAATTAAGTATTCTTTCTGAATATAGTACTGAACTAAGATAATAATGTTTTACCCACTAGTTTCCTTGTGTCAGTTCTTATGCTATAATAATCTATAATAGATGTTTTATATTTAAAGATTTTAAATTTTATATACTATACAGGTTGACCTAA